GACTCGGTAAAGTAATCGGAGATTGATAACTTTTTTCCAAAAGCGGAAGACTCTCTTTTGGTGTAGTCCAGTAGTAGATTACGGTTTTTGGAATTTGTGCCACAATAATACTTTACACGTGACCAATATTTTACGTCATAATTTTTATAGTCGTTGTATCATATATTATTATACTTATAATATGTATTATAATGTATAGAGGTGGAGCAAACGGTCGGATCGGATGGTGGCGTGATAAATAATGCCCGGCTAGTGTGAAAAGCGACCTAGGGATAAAAAAAAAGGGAAAAGCCCGAAGAGTTCATTTTCCGGACGAGCGAGAACTGCTGGAGCGCGGTCAGCTGCTCAATAACCGTGTGCCGTTGTCGTTGCGACTAACTTAAAAGGGCTTCGGATAAACGCAATCAGATTATTACGGTAATGGCTTATATGTATATATATAGTTTAACGGAGAGCCAGTAACGCCTTTGGCCTTTGCATCGTATAAACTTATGTGTATATACCGACCGCGACCTATCTCGCACGGTCAAGCCGCCGGATCCTTTTTATCTGACAACTCCGATCTATCTATCCTCCCACACAAATCGCACGAGTCACACGGTTTCGTTGTTTCTTATTTCGGTTATTATTATTATTATTATTATTATTGTAACCCCGACTTTCCTGACCGTCTTATGCAACCCTACACACACCCCGTCCAAATACATAATAATATCCGACTGGCGTTTGCCTAGTGGTCGACCAACTAGAACTTTGCCCCTTCCCCTACCCCCACCCCCTTAAAAGGTATTCGTCCGGAAAATATGGCCGCTTTGTATTTCCTCGTGCGTGACGGAATAAAAGGGAAGATCGTCATCATATTGTGTGACCCGAAATGATTAGGTATACGTTTAAAGTCTTTAAACGTTAGTATGTACCGGTAATAGCGCAAGTATAAAAATATTTTACAGCGAAAAAACAATTTGTTATTACTATAATTAATGTATTTATATGGATTTATATAAAGATAGGGTAGAGTGGGGGTAATTATAAAAGGAATGGGGCAAATGTGAATGCAATTTTTTTATACAAAGGACCATAGGATATTCGTATTTTATTTAATTATGTAGTATATTAATTATTACCGTCTTACAATATTAAGTTGTGAAAAAAAAATTATCGATTACTAGGTATACATAAAAAATATTACATTCATTTGGCCCATTCGTTTACAATTAACCCCTGTTGCCCGTACTTCCTTTAGAAGAAAATGATGAAAACATGTTTTTTTTTTTTTTTAATAGCCTTTATTTGCAATATGACGGCTCAACGATTAAAAATATACAACCTGTGATATAATTTACAATGCAGTGAAAATTAATATAAACATTAGTTAATTGTAGTATATAAAACTAATATTAATAATATGTACAAAACAAGGAAACAGAGACGAGAAAAACAAAAAGTAAATAAAATAAAGAGATTCAAATAGTGCAACCAGCGCTCAAAAGGAAAGAAATAGTAGCAGTAATAATAGGAACTGAACGAGAATTGAGGATGTTATATGGATCAAGATTTGAAATGCCATGGGATGCAATAAAATTAAAGAGAAAGATTCTATTAGGAACAAGAGAAGGACAGTCGAATATAAATTGAGAAAAATCTCCAACAGCTACCTCATCATGCAAATGACAGAAATGAACGGAATTAAGGGAAAGTTTATAGGCAAAGTAGGGTAAAAGATTATGACCGACTCTGAGACGTGAGAAGGAAGAAATCATTCTGCGAGATAGATCTAGTTTATGAAACCAAGGACAATTACGGGGTGAAGGAATTATAAGCCGATGCCAGTGTGCAAAATTAGGAGGGAGGGAAGACCACTTGTCGAGCCAGGCGTTAGAGAGGATTGATTTAAAGGAATGAAAAGCATCAGAATTTATAAGACGAAAAGGGGGGGTAAATAGAAAAGAGGATGAGGATTTAGCTAGAGTGTCGGCCATTTCATTGTCACTGATCCCTATATGACCAGGGACCCAATGAAAATGCACGTCTTTACTCGAAGAGAGAATTTGGAAAAGGAGGGATTTGATGAAAACATGTTTATCAATAATAACTAATGAATTAAGTTTTTTTATTAAATTAATTTAATCATAATATTTTAGCTTATCAAAACACTAAACCTAATATGAATATTGTTTCGCAATAGAAACAAAATAATTCTAGTAAATAAGTAAGTACATTTTGTAATGTTAAAAAAAAATGTTTATACATAATAGGTTTTTGGAATGACAAACTATAAAAATTGAAGTTACAAATAAACAAAATTATAATCATTGATATTATAGAAAATTGGTGGCTCAGCGTTAACGGTCGCCTAGTTAGATTAGCTTAATTGTAATTATTTGCATAAGTCGGAAGTCCAAAACAACAGTTAAACGTAACTATACCGAGTGTTCAATAGAATACGATTATACATTAGCTTAAGCGCATACAATTAAGCGAACAGTGTTACCAAATAATATAATTGGTTGTTTAAATAAGCACATTCATTAAATTTACTACATTTTACACTTATCTTAAAATGTTTCCGAGTAGGAAAGTTTAAGTTTTAAACGCGTGCAAATAGTGCGTGTGGTCGTTAAACAATATTTGCCGGGCCTTAGTCTTGGGAGTAATCTGGTTCTCATTAGCAAATCTGAAAAAAGGAAACTAAATGGGGCTTGAAATAGCAGTATGATATTAAAGTCAAAGAGCATATAACTGCGGCTAGTCTTCCTTGAAATTGCCACAGCCGTTTTCGCCCCTAATTCAGTCACGGTTTTCTGATCTCTGTACGAATAAAAAAAAAAAAGATTCGGCCCATTATGTCCTGCGTCATTATTCCACCATTATCTTATGTAAGACTAAAATGGCTACCGAGATTTATAGTTATACACAAATAGGGTGCACATTGATGACTAACCGACTGTAATAGGCCTTCCACGACTTTTGTTAGTGTTTGCGATTTTGCAGGGAAATTATGTCTAAATGGTACCGTTTTTCCGTCTGCGCATATTTGCCTACATATATGAGGCTATATTGGTAATACTTAATTCGCAATATCTTCCAGGCATTAAATGCAAATTATTACAATTACATGCTTATGTAATGCATTAACCATTATATGCATTTACATATTAACAAATAACATTACCTAGTAAATTCATTACTCTTCTAGCTTACATTAATCCGTCTCAAAATAGAAATTAAGAAACAAATATACCGTCTTTTTCTGCCATTAAAATATGCTCAATTCTAAAGTTTTTCTCTTAGAGTTGTGATATTTATTTTCTTTATCTAACTCAAATGCTCTTTCTCCGCAATCACCATTTATGTGTTCAATCATAGATTAAATATAGGTACAATCTGTATATAGGTATATATTATTGTATATTTACTCCACAATCGTTATATTAAATTATTGGTTAGGTAAACCGTTAATTGTATTATTCGATCACATTGGTGTAAGATACCCAACAGATAATTTTAACACGAAAAACTTTATGAACATAAAATAAATGTTTTGTATTTTCAATATAGTAAACAGGTTAAATATAATGGTATAAGGAAGTCAAAGAGAATATTTTAAGATTAAAAAAAATATCAAATCTGTTGGAAAATAATTGACATTACCTTAACAACTTAACCTATGTCAAACTAAATAAATATTTTAAACGGAATTTTATTTAGTTAGTTTTTTAAGTCATTTGTTGGTATATTTTAATTATCTAACACAACTTCATCTTTAGAGTATCCTAGCCAAGGAGTTCTTATTGATGTTACAAAACAACTTTTAACAACATTTTTTTGAGTTTACTGAGTACTATATTATAATAATATAGTGTTTTCAAAAATTCCACTCATTCTCAGAGAGAAAATTCAAGGAAATGGAAATACAACAATTCAAAAAAAAATACAGGTATTGAGTATTATTTCTTATCCTGCACCGTTGCCCCAATGATAGGGCGTGACCTATCGGGCAAACGGTGTACCAGCAATATGGAGACAGTCGCCATCTGACGGTTGGTAAGTACCGGGTGATTGGTTAACTATGGACCACTCAATATCTTAGAAGATTTTACTTTTTTTTTTTATACATTTATAGTAATTAGTTGGGACAAATTTTATATATATTTCAAAATTCTAACACCATCCCTATGCGTTAACACCATATCAACTTTGGATTTTTAAATGGTAACCCCAATTTTTTTTTTAATGATCCTGTTATTTTTTTTAAATTTAATTTTAGGCGTAAAAACTAGGTAAATCGATTGAGTAGTTAACGAGCTACACAGTTTTAAAATTAAAGGGAGTGTAAAAAATAAATTAAATATCTTGGAGACGCTAACATATTAAGGTGACACTTGACTGTTCTCTGTTATTATTTATTGACAATTAACTTTGCCAATAGCTATAGTAGCGTTTAAAAATCATAACCGTACCAAACACTATACTTTACTTTAGGTAAATAATTCAACTATAGTAAATAATAATGATAACCGCTATATCGACCGAAAAATATACCACCACTACACACTTTTACATTTATTTTGTAAAATAATAGGTATGTTTAATTTGTTATCAATACCTTGTGTATATTTTTCCAGCATTTAGCAATTATTTATTTTGGTTAATTTGACACATTTTGTTTATTCATGCGATTTGTACGTCTTAATTTCATAGTATATTATAATAATATAGTATCATAACTTACTAGATCTATGAACTTGTCAACATTTATTGTGTTTTAAATAATAACATTGATATTAAATATCCATAATTAATGTGAATACCGAGATGGAGTTTTGCTCAAGTGACAAGTCTAGAAAACCTTACTTATAAAATGTATGCACATCAAATATCAAAATTAAAGGTTCTTATAATAATAATATGTTATTTAAAACAAGTAGAGTAATTTGTACTATGTTTGATGATATTTTAACTAAAACTTTTATTTTTACAGTATTATGTCTGTTCTGAGAAACTGATAAATGTGTAGTTTTGTGTTTTAACATATTGGTATCTGAATTCAAAGAAACAAAATATAAAATTTTTTATGAAAAAATTGAATCTTCAATCATCGTTTACTGAATCAATAATAGGTAAGATAATGTATTTATTGATATAGGTGTATTGTATAAGTACATTTTTTTATTAGAAAAATAAAATTAATTGTTTTTTATTATTCATGAACATATAAAACGTTTTTACATAATAAGTTTTTTTGGATTACTTATGTTTATTATACTTAATATGTTTTATTAAAATGCGTTACTTAAAAATTATCATACTTTTATAATTATAAAAAATATATGTGTATACTGATATTTGTTGCTTAACAATATAATTATTTAAGTATCTAAGAAACTTATTTAATTTTTTTAATTATATGTTTCAGTATTAATATGGACTATCTCAACTTAAATTGATAATTGTTTTTGTCTACAATTACACTACTACCAACGTCAAATATGGTGTATTATATTATTGTAATTAATCAGTCTAAACCAATTCCATCAATACATTGTCGAATGTTGTGGTATTCAATTTTCAGTAAATTTATAGGCGTTTTATTTTAAGGTAAAATATATAAGATCATAAATTTTCAATAATTTAGTTAATTTCTATGAATTCATCACTAACAATTTATTATTATTATTTTTTTAGTTACTGTGGCACACTATTGCAGATAACAGTTTTCCATCAAGTCAGTAAGAAGAATAAGATGGATTCACAAGTTCAAATCAAATATTAGACAACTATATATATTTAGTTATTCAGCTAAAAATGTAGTTCAATAAAATATTTTAAAAGTACTTTATCATTTTAAAAGTGACAAAGTTTTTAAACTCTAAGTATTTAAACACACATATACTTAACATATCTATAACTATTATACATTATTTATTAATTATTAATGATGAATTCTTTATTTAATATTAATTTAATCTAAAATGCTGCTGAGAATGTTAATATTTCTAAAATATGTTATTGTCTTAATCCAAATCTTGAAATTATTTTCATGATGGCATAGTTTTGGCATTTCAATTATTATTTTATACCAAATAATATTAAATTATAACATATACTTATAAGTTATGTATTTACACTTATATAGTGTAATTTTATATGAATTTTACATTATATAATTTTACGTGTGTAGTGAATACGATTAATTAGAGAATTGATAAATATCTAACTACAATTTGCAATAAAGATAAGAACCTAACTAAAGGCAATGTTTTTGATATTAAAATACGAAATTTCTCTTGGCGGGTTTTTGGTAAAATCGATGTTGGTACTATCTGTAGTCACTGAACTATATACATGGCTAACTATACACCTTGGTTCAGTGTCTGTAGTATTACACATTTTATAGGTTATGTAACATTTATTTCTTATCACGCGTTATCATTTTTTGGAAGAACTACCCCCACTCGTTGGGACTTGTGATATCTTATCAACAGACAACAATGCGATCCATTATTTTCGCCTTTCGGTACATTATACTGTAAAGTGTAAACAATATACACTCAACTAATACGGATTACGGAATAAGAATCTTTCCTAATCCTTAAGTGCAAAGTTTCTAAATTACATTGTAAAATATAATAATTAGTTGTGTTGCTGTTAAAGAAAACAATTTACATGGCTGACGACTGTAAGTAGATATAATATATTGGACATAATAAATGATTATACAACAAAAAAACGTCATCTCACCTTACATGGAAATCACATGTTAGGATAGCATTATTAAGCACGAGTACATTTAGTTGTATAATGTAGAAACTAAAAAATTTTGTACGATTTTGGCAACTTAACAGAATTTTCCTAAAGAATCGATAGATTTGTTTAAAGGTATCAAAAATTTATGGTATTTGTTGATTTCTTGGATTGTTATTGAAACCAAACACGATAAAACTTAAAACATAATTTATAAATTTTTCTTGTTTAAATATGTAGATGTTCGTTAAAAGATATATTCTTAATTCATATATTATGTTATATTATATTATATGTATTATATATATATATATATATCGTTAGCTTATGTTGTTAAGTAATTACATTTTTTTCTTAACCATATTTAATACTCTATTATGATTGCACAAATAAACATTGTTCTGTTAATTATGTTCTAGTGGACCTGTCCCTAATTAATAACTTTGAAGAGGAACTGGGTTCGGTATTAAGGCATTGCTGTAGCGCATCTCAAAAACTGAAACAGTTAACGAGTAGCGAGGTTGAACTGAGTCTAAAGAATCAAGTAAGTTTACTATATTTTTATTTACATATTCATTTAAATTACCTTCCTTTTTTTTTTATTAACATTTGTTTTAGTTAGAAGTGAATTATAATGAAAATAATATTGATTTAAGCGTAAAAAATATTTTGGACAACGTCCAAAATATACGCAAAAAAATTGATACCATTGAATCAACAGTTGACTCTTCAGATAAAGTTTGTAATTATTATTCATACGTAGTAAAATATATTATGTTTAATTTTTTATTTTCAGACTTTATTCAATTTGAGTGAAACTGTAGAAGACTTTGAAAGCATTGTAAACACAGTGTTGAAAAATAAAAACACTATATTTCTCATCGTAAGTTAACTCACACTTACTATTACTACTTAACTATTATTAATGTGTTTATATTTATATATTTTTTAGGACATTTTTTGTAATCTACTTTTTAAACAATTCAAGTCTCAAGTTATAACGTATTAATAAAAAAAAATTAACCTAAACAATTTATATATATATTTATTAGTTCAGTTTTAAATTAATTAAAAATGTCATTCAAGCGTGAATGTAATGGCTCCGATAGTGATCTGCTCAAAACTCTCGGGGTAACAATTTAAATATTTAGTATTATTCTGTATAATCTTGCTGATCTAATAAACATAAACTGAAATAGGTTTTTAATTATCATTCTGTCAGATTATACAATTTGTACTACGTAAATTGTCATTGAATTATAAAACTGACACCTATTATATATTTAGTCTCAAAGGATTAAAGAGCTGTTAGGAATTCAAATACCTGAAGGCAAAGCAAAATTATTATCCAATGGCAGATTGACTTGTATGATTTGTACTAATAGACCAATTTTTGATACAATCAACGTACTATCAATTCATAGAAAGGGGAAAAAACATTTTGTTAGGTATGTGTTTTTTTTTACTTACTATTTACTATTTTAAATTGTGAGTCTAATTCACAGATGTTCCATTACGAAAAATGTTATTTTAGGCTTTTTACTTTTTTTTAATAATGAATTAACGCATTGAATAAAACCATGAAATCAGCTGTTAAATGTTTAACTGATAAGTGATAACATTAAAAGTTTTTTGTTTTGACTTAACATTGATTTCGTTTGGAATTATAATAATTGGGATTAGGCTGTAGAAATATATTATAATTTTAATAATAATTCATTTATATATTAAAGAACTCGGTAAATATCTGCAAAGAAAAGAAGAACTAGATTTGATAAAAACAAAAAGGCAACAAAAAGAGTACACTAAATCATTAGGTGTTACGGTAAAACATGCAGGTCGTGGCGAAAGAAAGAAGATGCTAGATTTACCGGAAAGAGGTGAAATGACAGTGTTTTTCTTTTAATAATTAACTGTTAAAGGCAATGAAATGAAGGTTAATGTTATTTTTAATTTTTTTCAGATGTATTGGATAAGTCTGCTTCTTCTGTAGAATCTACAATTGTTTCACGCTATGTAGCCTCAATGACAAAAAAGCCGTCCCTTAAAAGTGTTCTTAATCGTGCAAAAAAGCATCCTTACCAATGCCTAACTTCAGTGTCTATTGCTTCTACGAGCAGTTCTGGACTATAGTCTAACTTCATTGGCCCTAAAAATAAACCAACTGAGTAAATTTAAATAATAATTTTATTTTTTTATGTTTATATATTTATAATGAGGGAACTTATAAAATATAAGATATAATATAATAATAATAATATAATAACATTGAAATAAGACATTTTTAAATTGCTTTAATTATGTTACGTTTATTATTGCTACAGTCTGAGACTTACTTCTTTTTTACAGAATTGGTTGGATAAAAAATAATGATGGATCGTGGTCCAAAGATCCAAGTGCAGAATTTGATTCCGACGATGATTGGTAAGCTTCAGATGTGATTTATTGATATTGGTACAGTTATAATAGTTAAATATTGCATGATGCCGCAAAGAAGCATTTCAGTCTAAAGTGTGGTGAGGTTAAACATGTAAATTTATTGCTTATCCCATGAATTGGAAATCTAATGACTGCTGACGATGATAAAGTGATAAACTGCAGTGTTCCTAAAAATATATACACGATTATTTAAGAATTAAGACTATAATTATTTATTCTTCGCTATTACTTCTTTGTCGCTTACAAAATTTGATTTCCTTTCTGTCGCGTGAGAACATTTTTCATCATCACAGCTCTTGCTTCTCCTGTAATTGTGTGTTCGACCAATAAATAACACATTTTGCCAATTCTAATAAGCAAAAAAATTTGTACTTACATTGAGAGTTTTCTAATTTGTAAGTTGTCCGTACTACTTATTTCCGATACGTCCTGGTCTTCAGGGATTCTAAAAATATTTATTGGTTATAGAATAAGTTATAATTCTAAAAATTAAATATATTACAGTTCACTTTTGCTGCTATTTCTGTTTCTCACAGTTTCTAACAGTTGAGACGACAAAGCAGTCATCTTGGCTTGAAGTAACTAAAAAAGATTAAAAGTAAATTTACACAAACAGCATAACAATTTTAGTATTTTCAAATATGTTTTCATTATTATTGTTATTATTTTTGATAATGATGTTTTGGCACAAAATGTAATATTTCAAAAATATTATAAATATTTATATATTATTAAAACATTTAAATTATTAATTATTATTTATTATTAATAACAGATTAAAAATAAATTGAAAACAAGTTTGACAATATATTATAATGAAGATTTAAATTTGTTTGCTGTTGGGGTTAATTAGTATACTACGTAAAAACTCAAAAAAAGTCAAACAAATCTCTTGTTATCAATACTGTAGCTTACAGTTATAATTTTCATAGTTATAAATTACACTAACCGGCCATGACGTTGCTCTCATCTCTCTGAGATCTATGTTTCTGAAAAACTCGCTCATTACAAGTTGTTCTATAGTAGGCACTCGACCGGAAGAATTTATAATTATAAATTCCATTATCTCAACAACCTATGAAAATATATTCATAATTTTAATAAATTATGATAATATTGTAGGTAGATTATGTGTTTATCAATCCTTTGCCTATACATACTTGGGGGTAGTGAACAATGTCTCGTAAATTGATTACACTTGGTTCAGGAGTGAGCAATTCGTATCCAGCTGCCATTTCGAATAATACGTATCAAAAGAATTTCAGGCCAATAATTTACAAGTTTTGGATAAAAAATGCCATTAGTGTAAAAAAACCGTCAGTCGTCATGATAGGTATTTTAATATTAATATTAAGTGCTCTAACTTTCACCATAATTTTTTTTTATCATCATGATTCATAAACAATATTTTCATAGTACCGTTCAAAAAAAAAAAAAATTGTTCGTTTTTTTGGCCCAGTCTAATAAATATATATGTAACTAGCTGAATTACCCGGCGTTGCCCAGAAAAAAAATTGTGATTGTTCTACTCCTTTTGGGTGTAACTCGTTGTGGAAGCAATATCTTTTTAAGTGTAAATCACCCAAAATAACGTTTAAAATCAAGCGTTGTCTAACATAATATAATACCCTTGAAAAATAAAAAAAATATCTATATTTATATTCAATTTTTTTCTTCGAGCCCTTAGAGGTCTGTTGTGTTTCTTAAAATGTAACAACATGAAATTAAAAAAAATAGTAATTAACTACAAAGCTATATAGCCACAGCCCACACGTCACACGACATAAAGCCTCTAGAGAAAAAAAAAGCTGAAAAAGTTAGCTACTTTGACTTTTACTAAATTTTGTTTTTGCCCATTTCAAACCCTTAAAATTAAAATGATTCAAAATACTTTCTTATTGCACACCTAGACCCTAATACAAACATACCCTGAAAATTTTAAGTCGCTAGCTATCATAGTTTAGGCTGTGCATTGATTATGAATCAGTCAGTCAGGACTTCTTCTTTTATATGTACATGAAGATTAGCACAAACAATTAGAATAAACTTAACTTATTTTTTTCTATAACTTTTAACTTAAGTAATTTTTTTAAATCGTTTTAATTTTGTCTACTTTACTAGTTTATAAAAAAGTAACTTTATCCCGTTTTTTGCAAACTACGGGGTTAAAATACATTTTTGATGTGATAGCCTCCTCTCCTGGCCCTACTCAAATTACGCCTATGATTCACACATATATTCCTATAGAAATCCCCATTGGATTTCTAAAATATAAATTTTAAATTATAATAATGCATAATAAACCAGTGATAGATAACACTAATGTATTACGTTATTATACTTTACTTGATTACCTATACAAATCAGTAGGTTTTTTTTAAATTGTTGGATATTGGAATAAAAAAAAAAAAAAAAAAGTGCCATGCCCAATACAAATAATTATAATGAAGGTAATAGGTACACACCGACGCCGGGCATATATAGATATATCTGTGCCCGCTGCCCGGTGCGGGGTGCCAACTCATGAACAGGTGTTGATAGTGTTATCAGTTATCAAACAGCTGGTGTTAAGTAACTGCTCACATGACATTTTCAGTGGTTGACTGTTAACAATGGTAGTAAATTCAGTTATCCCCTCTTGAAACCGTCACCGGCATTTATAATTTCATATTAATGTCTCTTTTGGAGTTTAGCATATGCCAGTTTGCACATATTATTATAACGTTTATCTTTATTGTTTTATTATTTTCTTTTTTGAAAAGCCCAATTTTGTAATTATCTCAATTAGTATAGTTTACAATCGGTACGTTGGTCTTGTTGCTAATATTATCTTTTGAAAATATATTTATTTCGAGATTATTATATTACAGGAATACGGTGAAAAATTATTGATTGCAAATTCACTAGCGGACCGTTGTTGCTGTTAGAATATAATATTTTTTAAAGAAGTCAGTACATATTTTCAACGTAAAATAATAATACAGAAAGGTAATTAAATTTTTTATCTTGCATATTATGACTTATGTTAATTAAACAAAATTACGACTTAAAAAAAAGTGAAAAAATAAAAAAATAAATAAATAGGAAACACAGTAAACATATAAAGATATGAAAAATAACATTGAGTTATTCTAAACACGATTTGCCTTCCAACAAAACTGTACCTTTCCCTTTTCTGTCGATTTACTTTTTTTCCCAAAAAGTCTTATGACCAAAATTTAAGAACTAGGCCAAGTGGACTTAATAACATTTAAGTATAACAGTGTACAATTTAATTTTTTTTGTGTTATACCTGTAGGTGTTTAAGAAATGTTTAAACATTTTTTTCTTATTTTTCCAAAATTTCAAAAAGTTTTGTTAATTAGTTTTGGAAATGGGCTATTTATATTTAATCCGTCGACTAATTTGAATTAGATTTTTTTTTGCTGAAAAAGGTGAGGTCTGGTAGAAGAGGGAATCAAGTGTTATCTAATTTAATGGAAAAAGGAAAGGTATAGTTTTGGCGGAAAACAGCCATGCCCAAATCAATAAAATTTAATTTATTTTATTTTTCGTTCGGTCCCTTCAAACATTAGAAATTTTAAAATTTGGCCCAGATAGTTTAAACCTGAGTAATACGTTTTCTCAAAATATCCATTAAGATTGAGTTGAAAAACATTAGTAATGCATTATTTGAAAAAAACTTGTATTTTTTAAGTACAATGACCCCACTGAAAATAACTTTCAAATATACAAAATATTTTAATAATGTAATTTGTGTTGCTTTAAGTTTTGAGATTTCGGTTTCTTACTTGTTAATTAAGTATTTGATAGTTCTCAAATCTGGTTAAGTTGGTTATTATCTAACTTAATTTATTGACTATTTATATAATCTTTCATTTTAAAAATAGATAGTTTGACCATTTCTTGTCAGTGTTAGTTGATAATTTATTTTTTTAATTTTACACAGTTAATAAATTTATATTTTTCAGTCTTTCTAATAGTGCACAATGACTAGAAAAAAGAAGCTAGCCAATTATCCTAAACGAGCTCAGAAGTCTGAATGGACTAACCAAAGTTGGTTAGAAAATGACTTGTCTCAATCAATGACATTAACTACACCTGTAAACAGTTTAATACATTTTAGAGATATTCCGTTGTATCCTACGTTTGAAGATATAAGAAGCAACCCACCAACGTTATTTGCAAACAAGGTAAAACGGCCTTATGCAAATTGTGAAGAATATCTAGACAGATTTTTTCGTTTAATGCGTGAAGATTTCACATCGTCCATCAGAGATGCAATATGTTTTTTGAAAAAACCTAACAAAAGTGAACATGAACGTTTCGAAATGCAAAGGCTGTGGCATTATGAAAATGTTCAAATACAAAAAACTAATGCTACTTCGTTGAAAACTATGATTTTTCGTTTTGAAACTGCCACTAGGGCATTGCAGTTTGATTATGAAAGTAGTAAACGTTTTAAAAATGGCGCTTTGCTTGTACTAACCAAAGACAACTATGAAACGTTTAGTTTAGGAATAATAACAGACACTTTTAATTTAAATAGAGGTATAGTGGGTGTTGATGTCGTCGACTTTAAGGAAGTCAGTAAATGGACTCGCGTTGACATTTTAGAACCATCGGCTTTCTATGAACCTTATAGATATGTGCTGGCAGTCTTTCAAGATATGTCCGAAATTAATTTCCCAATGAAAAACTATATTATATATGGATGGAAACAAATCTCGCCCCCTACATATTTGGTCAACAATTCAACATATAATATAAATGGCATTGTGTTTGATATTCTAGATAACAACCAATGGCCTTCCGCTAATTCTTTACAAATGGATATAAATCAATACGAAGCTCTAAAAGGTGCATTGACTAAAGAGTTCACTATGATTCAAGGGCCCCCAGGAACAGGCAAAACCTACATTGGTTTGGAAATTGTTAAAATTATAATTGAGAACATGTATAAAACTAAAAAACTGACCAGTCCCATCTTGGTAGTGTGTATGACAAATCACGCTTTGGATCAGTTCCTTGAAGGCATATGGAGAACGACCAAGAATATTGCTAGATTCGGTTGTGGTACCAAGAGCGATATTTTGGTCAACTACGTACCTCGCATGAGCATTGCTCGCAATGATACGTGTGCAGACATATATGTAGGTGCTAAACGATGTGTTGCTACAACATTACAGCAAGAGAATGTGTATCAAAAAAATATCAAACAAGTAACTCGTAATATTGGTATTCTTAGTTTGTCCACACTCATGGAAGTACTAATAACAAGAGGCTTCGATTCTTGGTTTAATGATTCCTATGATCTATTGTCTTGGTTGTTCTATAATGTCACCGATGATAACGGTATTAACCCAGTAGATTTTATGAAAAAAAATAAACTGTTATCTTCTTGGTTGGTTAAGTCAAAAAGTGACCATGCCGGCGATCAATTGTATTGCATGACATTAACAAATATTAAAGAATACTATTCACAAACACAGTGTAAATTGGACGGTTTGAATCGTATATTCAATCCTGATAACAACGAACATGTTTTGAGAAAACGTGATTTGGAATATACTTTAAATACCATAAAAACTATTGAAAAACATATGAATAAACACTTGAAATTAGTGCAATCCGACACAATTGTTGAGTATACTCAAAACATCAACCGTAATGCAATTGATGGGCGACATCGCTGGTTGCTGTACTATAATTGGGTTCATCTTTATTTGATGTTGGAAAACAATCATATAGCGAATATCAAAGATGATGCACGTCAAATGAGACGAGAAGTAAATAAATTTAAATCGATTGGCTTTTTGAAGCCTGTGAAAAATAAATTTGTTATCGGCATGACAACAACTGCAGCCGCAAGAAATAGATACTTATTAAAGAATCTCAAGTGTCCAATTGGTAAAATTATTTTGAAATGATTTTACAAGTGAGATAACTATTATTTATTATATTATTTACAGTTATCATTGAAGAAGCAGCAGAAGTCCTTGAACCTCACATAGTAGCTTCATTGTCTGAACATTGTAAACAACTAATTCTGATTGGTAAGATAATACAAACTAGAAGTCATTTTGAAAAATATATTTTTAAATGTATTATTTTTTTAAAATTAGGTGACCACAAACAGTTACGTCCCCAAACAGCTAATCATATTATGGGTCAAAAGTACAAATTGGATGTCTCGCTTTTTGAACGAATGGTTCATAATGATATTCCTTCATACATATTAGCAGAACAACATCGTATGAGACCTGAAATCGCCGGTTTGGTAGCACCGGCTATATATCCACATTTAAGAAATCACCCGTCTGTATTAAACCGACCTCACGTTCGTGGTGTTGCCTCTGACGTGTTTTGTATAACACACAAAGCATTTGAAGAAAAAGTGATTGAACTTGTATTATTTGTACTAACAAACTTGTATTTGATTATAAATGTTATTTCATTTTATTTAGGATATAGAACTATCTAGTTTTAAAAATAGTCTTGAAGGTGACTTTTTAGTCGCTTTAGCAGATTATTTATTAAAACAAGGATATTATCCTGAAGACATCACCATAATGGCCATGTATAACGCTCAAGTTGTATATATAACCAAGGTATTAATATAACGTGTAACATTTTTTATGTCAAATGATTATTATGTATGTTGTTGTTAATGTTTTTTAGTTAATAAATAATCCACCTTATGAACATTTAAAAGAAATTAGAGTTTCATCTGTAGACGGATATCAAGGCGAAGAGAATGAAATCGTTTTGCTATCGTTAGTGCGCAGTAATAGTTATAATAGCGTCGGGTTCCTGAAAACAAATAACAGGGTATGCGTAGCACTGTCAAGAGCCAGGTTAGGCTTTTATATTGCAGGAAATCTAGATCTACTTTCTAGGGCCAGTAAATTATGGGAAAGTATTAAGAAATATTTATGCAAAACACAAGCTATCGGTAAGCACTTGTGTTTGTGTTAATATGTGAAATTTAATTCAATTTTTTTTGTATCAGGCTCAAAATTAAAGTTAAGATGTACAAGTCATAACAAAGTGTTGGGAGAAGTGTCTAGTGCTGCTAATTTTATGAAAGTTGGTAGTTGTAAATCAATTTGTAACGTCGTCCTATCTTGTGGTCACAGATGTACAAAAAAATGCCATGCCGACGATAGTGACCATTTGCAAGTGAAATGTCCACACCCTTGCACGAGGTAATTATATATTATTATATTATCCTTGCTAACAAAACTTGACGTTTCTTTATTTTAATAACAATAAATAATTTAAAAATATAGTTGCATATTTATTTTAATAAAAAATTATTCACGAGTTAAAATTCTATGTGTTTAAATTAATTTCTTTATTGTTTTTATATTCTTTTCAATACAAAATGTATTTGAATTTATTATTTGAGTATTTGTTCAAATAAAAACAAAATTGTATTTATTATTTGAATTCTTATTTAAAGAAAGCTCAGGCATGTTTAATATTTCTATATCAAATTTGTTTCAATACTATTTTAAGGAAATGTTCAAGAAATCACAAGTGCAAACATATGTGCTATGTGGAATGTAACAACTGTACAGTGTTCACAAGAGAACTTGGAGAGTGTGGGCACTTAATTGAAGGTCAATGCCATATTTTCAATCAAATCAAGTGCAACGTCAAAGTATATTTAATTTTTGTTACAAGTAAATAATATATGCAGGGCCAGCTAGTACGATGAGCCTTTTTCTATAATTAGAGAAATCATAGTCGCATCGATAGAGTACATGGTTAAGGCACAGCTTTTACAGTCTTCAAGCCGGCCCTGATTATACTTTTTATTAAAGACATTTTTTCAAATAGGTCAAGGTAATGTTGGAGTGTGGTCACGAAATTGAAAAATTGTGTCATAAGCCTCCAGTTTGTGACAAAGCCTGCGAGAACCTGGCTCCCGGTTGTTTGTTCCGACATGCGTGTAAAAACAAATGTGGCCAAGTTTGTGGTCCATGTACAGCTCCTATTCCGATAATAATGTACTGCGGGCACACTACACAAATTTTGTGCTCGCAAGAAACAAATTCTGCTGTATGCAAGACGCAAGTGAGACGTCAACTGCCGTGTGGACACCAAACGATGGTTTCTTGCACTGAAGACGTATTGAATTTAAAATGTCAAGATAAAAGCCATAAAAATGATAATGTTATGAAAAAAGTGAGGAAATAACAATACATATAATATGTATTAACTAAATAAATACAAGTCTGAATAATATTAATTATATATAATATTTTGTTTAGCTCACCTCGGAGTTAAGGTTTAATTAATTAAAAAAAAAAAACAATATAATGGTGGCGATAGCTTTGAAATTTAAATTATTACTTTTTACTATTATAGCCTAAAGCTGTTGTTCTGGTGGACCGTACAAACGTACAAACTGAAGAGATTGTAAAAAACAAAATTATTTTTCCATGTGGACATAAAGGCCATTTGAATGTTCCCAACGGTTCAAGTATTAATGGTAAGTATGTATGAGCATGAAGTCAATAAAGTAAATACAGTGTGGACTAAATATGTTCAATCTATTTCTTATAATTTTCAAATACTTCAAAACAAATATTTTGGCTTCTTATTTAAGTTTCCCTTTGCAACCCTGTTTTATTATCATTTGTACAAATTCTATGTATTTATTGTTATTTTTCATGTACAGAAAATTCCAATCCAGAAATATTGGCTAAATATTGTGACAAAATATGTTCTAAGAAACGAGAATGTGGACATTACTGCAAAGCTATGTGTAAAGATTGTCCTTCAAAAAAACAGCATAAGGCTTGTCATAGGTAAGATCAATAATTATACCACGTATATTACCAATTTGTTAATCAGATGTAAAAAAAAAAATGTAAATAAGGTGAAGTAATTTTTCTTTAGCAATACCTTAACTAATAAATGGCTTAGAGCAAAATAACTGTAACAAAATCAAAAGAGTTTTTTTTTGTATGAAAATCATATCTGTTTCAATATGGTTAGTCTAGGGCTAGGATGTTATTGCACTTAAAATTTATAAAATTGTTTGGTGAATTGCCATACAAAATATTTAAATTACACATTGACCGTATTCCATTTCCATATTGATATGTGTGAGTGAATGAACAGTAACAGGTAAAGAAAATATTTTCATCGGATTGTGAACTATGATATATGGACTACGTATGGCAATACATTTTTATAGACAGAAGATCAACCCTAATCATGGCTACCATAATACTAAAAATTAGTTTTTAAGCACATGATTGTCAATAGGTACAAACAATGCTTTTATCGATATTTATATTTTTATACGGAAACGCTTACTCATTTACTTTTACTACTACTACTCACTTGCATATTATATTTTCTTACTGTGCTGGTTTGTACTGTGCTTGGTTTGGACTGTACAGGTTAGAACCTACTATAGATATTCATCGAAGTATTTGTTTAAAAGTGGTTTAATCACTTTTTGTTATAAAATTCCTGTAGACCTGTAACCATCCCGCTCCCATTACGCCCCGACCCCACTGTACTGACTTTTTTTGTTTGTTAATCATTTTTTTTTTATCTTAAGACATTTTTTCGTGGAATAAAATGAAACTGTTGATATTTTTACCATAGGTTTTTTTTACACATTGGGTTAGAGTTAACTTAGTAAACTGCTGCACCAAAATCTTTGATCAGCATTTTGTTGATCGATGAAAGAGCACATTTTTCACTCTTTAATGTTAGTAAAACAATCGAGTTTTTAAATTTAATTTTAACACGCTCTAAGTAACAAAAAACACTGTCAGTTCCGCTATTTCGTGTTAGTTTGTGTATTAATATTACGTCTTTCAGTGTTACATTATGTATAAATTACAATGTATAATACTCGTATTAATAAATGTGTTTTTTTTTATACTTTTAGTTGCAAAAGGAAAAAAGTTTTCAGTTTAAATACTGTTTCCTCTATAAAGTTTCATGTTAAAGACAAAAAACAGTCTAAGAAGATGATTGTCGATGAAGTGAGTAATTACTAAGTATTAGTATGAGTATATTATGTTGCTCTATTTTTGATGTGATAACAAGTGATGGAATACAATTTTATTAAGGTTATTATTTTATGTTATTACCTTATTATTTTTTTGTTGACTACTAAATTATATACTAATGTTTTTCGATTGAAAGTTTCCTTATAATAATTAATAATATAATTTATGTTTTGTATCTCAGTAGAATATAGTTAAGAAGTTATTATCATTTTTGTTTGATTAGTGTTTTGTTGAAATAAACATTGATTTTAAGTTATTCTAAAAGTTGGTTGGGGTAATAAGCTTAGAATTTTAAACCTTTTACATTACATGGCAATTATTAATTAACAAAACCATTCTGCCCATATTCATAGTATGTGCATGAGAAAATGGATGACGCAACCACAGGTTTGGGTTATTAGCGTAAAATTCACAAAATTATAAGTCAAGAATATTATACTAATCCAGTGCACTACCATACGTATTTTTGTTCATATAGTGAAAAATTAAAATCAACCTTTAATCGTCATCCTCATTTTAAACACGCGTCTCTTCAGAATAACAAAACCGATAAATTATTAAGAAACGTCAAAAGTAACAGTTTGCTTTATGATAATGCACTGTATAAATTTAAGTAAATTCTGGAGTAATTTTCAAATTCATTTAGATTGTAGTGTAGAGTTTTTGTCTCAGTACAGTCTTAAAATTTACAACAACATTTAACACTTTGTGTGCTATCTGTGTGATTTAGTTTAATTTATTTAAGTACAAATAATTTAATAACTTAATCTAAAAAAAAAAAAAAATTGTTCTCCCTAGTTCTAAAATAATACGTTTTTTTTATATCATTAATTTAATTTTTAGACTATTAACTCGTGCCTTTTATAGTTTTTTTTTTTCATGTACTCCAACTTAAGTCTTTATCTTCTAATATGGCCTTTTGCGTGTTGTAAAAGGTCATATTACACATCTTTAAATAAAATTGTTCGAATAAATTTGTACTCGACAATTAATAACAAATTTTTTTCTAATTTTATTCATATTAAAAATGCTTTCTGACAGCTATTTGGTTTTAAGTTAAGCCATAATTAATAGTAAAATTCTTATAGAGAAAATATGAATACCTAATAAATATACGGTAACCTTTTTTTCAATTAATTATGAAGTCGTATTCGAATAATGCCCAACTCTGAATACTACAATCCAGATGATTTGAAACATTTTAATTTTAACACCGGCCATTCCGCCCTCGGTTGTAAGAAATCTGGACCTTATATTGGATATTGGCCTTAGTTGTAAAGAATCGTTTTCAATGGGTCCGTTGTCGATTTGTCTGTGGGCATTTGCTTAGGTCGCGTTGTAAAGTGGTCTCTGTGGCATTGGGGAAAACGCATATGAAACGTCAACGCGCACGGCCAACGGTTTGTCGTACCTACACGCTTCGTTAGACCATGCAAATATTTGATTCGACGTCATGTCAGGATCAGGAGAGGGTGACACTCGTGATCAGGGTTAGAGAGAGAGGGGTAGGACGAGAGCGCAGCCCCGTAAGAGAAATACAAACACGAATCACATTAAACGAGCCAAGCGGATAGAAAAAGTGTAAAAAAGGGAGGGAGGGAGAGAGAAGATGGCTATTGGCTAAGTTCGGGAAAGTAATGCGTAGGGGTAGAAAAGAATAGGAAAGAGAATTTTTATATGTCAAACTGTGTATAATATATATATTTGTAGACCTATGTGTTACTTCCATTTTGCACATGCAAAATACAAAATATACACACACGACCCGCCGTCGCTGTCACCGTCTAGTCTAAGCAATCAATCCACCAACAAGTTGTTTTTAAAACGACAGTAATTTTTTTTTCTTTCAAGTTAGCATAGATGGACGTATTTCTTCGGCGGGACAAAAAGGATTCTAAATAAACGACAACTGAAGTATATAATCACACACGGTTTCTACTTGTAATCGATAATTCTCAAGCTGTTTGTTTCGCCAACAAACCTACTTACGGCTTCATAAAGTACCTATGTTTATATATACACTTATATAATATTTACGTATGTATTAGAGTGGATCAAATTTTTGTATTGTCTTTAAAATGCGAGTATGCTTAATTTCAACTGAATTGAACGATAAGAACACGTGCCTTCCGAACCCCAACCATGGTGTTCAACTAGCTAAATAAAAAAAAATTTAAATCAATGATTTTAATTAAAACTTTGCTAGATGTTATTTTATTGGAACCTATATAAGAGGAAAAAGAAATTATTAGTTGATATCACGATTTTATCATTAAAATAACATGGAATTAATAAAATCTAATACAATTACTAAATCCAAAAAATTGAAAAATCTATCTAATTATAAGTCTTATTATTTTAAATAATAATTGGTGATTCCAACTAATACTTTTTAATTGGGGCAAAACACTTAGCAAATTTACAATGAAATTGTTTTTTTTAGTAGGCATTCCCCCCCCCTCCCGAGATTTTAATTGAATTTTTGCATTCTATATAATTCATGCCAAAAACCTAGATAAATGTCAAGTCTGAACGTTTATTCAGTTCAGCACTCCTAAAAATGTAAATCAAACGGTAAACTAAAAAAATATTGTTTGTAGAATGATCTTCCCTAATCTATACGTTCAATCTACGATTAGCATTTAGCACATTTAGCTTTTCTTGTTCATTTTGCTTACGATAAAAACTATCTGCACTTATTTCATCTCGGTACATAAATCCATTTTCTCTATAGTATACGGTATAATATGATACAAGCGGTTGCAGTTGGTAGCACTCACCATCCAACGGGTTCCTCCGTGGCGGTGACGAACCATTTTTATTTTTTATGTTGACAGCGACTAAATAATTTTCTGTTTTATTTTAAAAATGTTCTTATTTATTAAATTGTTGTGTGAAAGACTTGTTTTCTTATGCTTTTGCGTGCATTATAAAAGTTTCACGTAGACATTACAATATCTGTAATCCAGTTTCACAATCCGATAATTTGGTGAGTTTTTTGTCAGCATACTAACGATATTTTCAATTGTTTTCTATATATTTAATTTATTATTTCAGTTAAACTGGAAGTTTGGTACATTTCTATTACTTAGAATTCAATTTTATTTATTATTTATGATGGTAAAATTCGATGTAAAAATCTTACTTGAAATGAACACTCAAGAAGCACGGATTTGTGCTTACTGGTGAGAAACCATATAAATGTAGTATATATTAGAGCATACATTTGAATGGCTTTTCACCTATAATAAGTACAATATTTTATCGACATTTTAAGAGTTTTAGAAAGAAAAAACATAAGAGCTACCAAACTTCTTAATGTTTAGTATAAAGTCAGTTGTTGTTATAATAGTCTTCTGTCTCTGCATGCTTTGTTTTGTATACAGTTGCTGTTTGCGAAAAAAAATGTTAACCAAAGATCTCACCTCAAGAAGCATGAGCTTGTACTTACTGGTCAGAAGTCATCCAAATATAGTGTATATAAGAGCATATATTTGTATGGCTTTTCACCTGTAAGTGCAATATTTTATCGACATTTTAAGAGTTTTAGAAAGAAAAAACATAAGAGCTACCAAACTCCGTACCGTTTAGTATAGATTCAGTTGTTGATATAATAGTATTTGTGTGTGTTGGTTTGAATACAATTGCAGTGTATGAGAATAATCTTTTAAATAAGTCTCTCATCTGAAGAATCGTGAACTTTTGTATACTGACAAGAAACCACCATACAAGTAAAATATCTGCGAAAAATCTTTATCCCACAACGAAAACCTCAAGAAGCATGAGCGCGTACATACTGATGAGAAACTATACAACTGCAATATCTGCGAAAAATGAATTTAACAAAAGCCTTACCTCAAGAAACAAGAACTTGTGCTTACTGGTGAGAAACCATAAAAATGTAGTATATAATTTAGAGCATACATTTAAATGGCTTCTCACCGGTATGCACAATGTTTTACAAAATATATTTTATGATATTCTACTTACATCATTAAACTGATTTTTTCATGTAAGAAGCTTATAGATCAGAAATCGTATATGGAAGTAATTCTATTGGGTCTATAATTTTATAAATCACCCCTTTCCCATCAAAATCAAGAAAAACATAAAAAAGTTAATTAATTTTGATATAACTTTAAAAGTAAGTCCATTCAACAACATTTGGTAACATATTTTTCAATAAACATTTTTTATTTAAAATAAATTTATATTTTACTGTTTTAAATATTATCTTATGTAAATATATTTTTATTTGACTGTTTTAAATAACCTGTATTTTGAATAATTGTTTAAATAAATATTTATTTAATTTTCTATTTTGAATTTAATTTTAAATAATTTCTTTAATGCCACGCCGACCTCAGTGACTATTTGTGAAATGTTCTAACCGTTGCACGAAGTAGGAATCAAATTATTTTATCCTTATGATCAAACTTAGGCGTTTATTTATTTAAATAACACAAGGATTTAAAAATATTTTTCGATTTTTATCAAGTAAACTTTTATTTATGCATGTATATTATTATTATACATTAATTTAAACAAAAAATGTATTTGAAATTATTATTCGGGTATTTGTTTTCATAAAAACAAAATTATACTTATTATTTTAGTTTTTAAGCAAATCATTTTAGTTTTTACATTTTTTATTTTATACAAAATATATATAAATAATGCCCACGTTTTGGTAATAGGTACCATTTCGCTCCAAAAGTGGTTTACTGTAGTGTTCTCCAATGATTAGATTAGAGATTAAACTCTACACACTATAATGTTATGGTCAATTTTTAGGAGTCATAAAATGTCAGTATACTATATAGTGTTTATAGTGCACCTTCTTGGTACCCCTAGATAACGCCTGTGAAAGAAATTATTTTATTTTTAAATGGACAAAACGTTTGAACCATTTTTGTCATTATTTTCTTGGTAGATCACATACTTGGTACTTTTTTTTATTTTTTTGAAACAATATAGATGCAGTAGTACAGATATCAATGATCTTTATTAAAATCTCGGCGTACATCAGGTATATAGTAAAAGACATGAGTAGTAGAAAATACTAAGTAGACATCTGGGAGCCTAGTCGCTTCATTTGACACGGCGAAGAGTTTCACGGGCCACCGGGTGTATAATATGTTTACGGATTTCCCTGGAAACTTTAACCAATTAGAGCGTTCAGTTGTCAACGCATTTTTTTCTTATTTTTTTTTCCCGCTAGTCCCCGTATTACCTCGTGTTACGGTACATTGAATACACCGGGTGAATGAGGGTGGTTTAACGTCTCCAGCAGCAACGGATGTCGTTTAGCCTCGGGTAACGTTCAGACGGGGGCTTTATGGCCGTGCGATAGTCGGTGGTAAAAAAAATAAAATAAAGGAGATGCGATATAGTGTTTTCCGAAAGTTTAACGTTTAAAGTGGGTTTTTACAGTATGTCTTCAATTAATCATCGCATGTCTGAAAATCGATTAAAGAAGATTTTTATTTTGTCAAACGACCATCACCAGGGTAAGGTAATATAAATTTCAAAGTACAACAAGCTCGGTTCTAAAATATATTGAAATTAAAACAAGTTGGACCTTTCCAACTGCGCTTGTATTGCATTAAATCTGTTGGTTTTACTAGGCAATAGCTAGGGATTTTACGTGTTTACTAACTATGTGGAACAAATGCAGAAGTAAGCAATGAACTTGCAGTTTTGCATTCACTCAAAAACCGAAAACGTGTGGGTCATTGTTTTTGAACCTAAGATGTTTGAAGAAGGTGACGTTCTGCGTATGAAACATTAATTGTACAGTAACGCGAGAAACTTTTTTATTACTTGACTCGTCTCGAGTGTGCCCTTAACTATATTTAGTTATTACTTAAGTCACTATATCTAGTCACTGTATACTCATCCCGAGCAAAACATATCTCCCACACTGTCTGTAGAAATTTATAAACGTGTCGTCAGCAAACATAATTAATGACCTTTTGTTCGTACAGGATCTCGTGTCAATTCATTTGCATAAACACTTTGTACCTACAATATTATTCAGTACAGCAATTACAAGGTGGCGACCGTGAGTACACAGTATTATAATATATAATAGGGTTGGCGTATGACATGTTATTTCTTGACAGATAGTTTCCACGCCACAAATTAATCATGTGTGCTAAAATAGAAATTGTTTAACGCGGTTACACTGGTAAAACGAATAGGTAGTTTCAATTTGTCAAGTATCGTGACTAAGGCTCGCATGTTATAGTTCTAGAAACTATAATTATTTGTTAAAATGTCATAAGATACATGAAAAAAAAAATTCTCTAAAAAAACTTGGTTTTAATGTTTTGAGTCGTAAATAGATAGTATGATAGTTGAATCGCTTTACACAAAAAGGGCCTTAGTCCTTAACTTTAAACTTTTGGAAAAATGAAAAAAACCTTTGATATGTTTCAAAATGCATAAACATATGAGGGCTTTATCAATGTTAATAGATATTAAACAGTAAAATTACATTCTGTAAAACAATATTATTATTTTCAAATTCAATCTATATTATTAGCATTTAAGTATAGTGGACTTAGACCCTTTTTACAAAAATCAATAATTTTCTTAGTAATTTCTGGTAATTGGACTAAATTTTTTTTTACATGAATCGATGCGTCTAAGGAAAGTGATAACGAATCTGTAATAATCACGTTTTTGATAAAATGGTGACTTAGGCTCTTTTTGCATGAAGCGACTTAGATATTTTAGGAGCAAATAAAACTAGCACTATTCATTTACAATTACCATACTAAACACTATTTATGTTCACATAAATCATATAAAAATATTGGCTGTTACAAAGTTTTGTATTCTAAAATATAAAAATGTAAGTATTAAGTTTAAACTTTAAAAATATTATAAAAACGCCTATACCAAAAATACTTTTATTGGTATTTGAAAAAAACAAGATAGCGGAATAGTACCAGTTTTTTTTAATTTCTTAGTTTTCAATATACAAATATTAACTAAGATTAATGAACATAATATAATATTATATTCATTGTTATAATTAATTACAATAGCTGCAAATGAAAATAAACCTATGTTTTTTCTCGAAACTTCTATTGCGTGGAAATTGATTAGCGTGTATTATTTAGAAAATTATCCAAA